TTTTAGACATTGGAGGGCAGTGGCAAGACGGCCCCCTGCGCTTTCCGCCGGCGCCGGAGCAGAAGCGCGGGGCGATCGAAGCCCAGGGAACAGAGGGTTAGCTGCAGCCAGACCCCGCCACCCCGGCAGCGCTTTGTCAGCCAGACTCCCTCCAGAAAGCCGCCGGCAGAGAGACGCTTGGCTCCTCCTGCCGCAGCGTCACCGAAGCCTGTGAAGGACCTTACCCCAAGCCAACTCTGCTTTCGAGACTTCGTGCTGGAGCATGTTTGCGATGAAGACTCTCCTGAGCGCGCGCTTGAGCTCTTCGCACGCTATCTCCGCCAGTGGACGAGGGAGGAGTTGGAGGCGATCCAAACCACTGGGCTCTTTTTCGACCTCTATCACCCACTATCTCAGATCCGCAAGTTCAATCTTCGTCTTGGCCAGACTCAGCTTGATGCAAGAGTGTTCGTGCAAGATCTCCAGGAAGGAAGGCGCGGTCAGTGCGCAGCTTGCATTTATACTTTTTTTCGCCTCATGGCGTTGTAGCAAGGGAAGGCTTGTCCCGGGTAGGTATCAAGGGCTGTCTTTGCTGGCAAGCCAGCCTCGGTCCGGGGCCACATGCCCCGTGGCCGGAGACCTGCAAGCGCCGGAGTTTGCCCTGGACCCGGATGCCGACTCTTTGATGATCAGCTGCCTGTCAGGAAGAGGAGAGTGAAAACGGATGCGAGAAACGCATGCCATCTTCATGATTCTGGCATTGAGGTGGTCTTACCCCGGCTGTGAGCGTTTGGGATGTCCTGGATGTGATTCAGGATTGGGGCTGTAGTGAAGGATGATGTTGTGAGACAGTGCGTGACCGCTGTTGAAAGTCTTCGTTTTCATGCCACGCAACACTTAGCAAAGCCTAGCCGTTTGCTCGCCACGGCATCCTCAACAGTTGAAAGATTGTTGCTGGGAGGACTGCTCCGGATTTTGCAAAGCTGCATGGACTCACTTTGACAAGAACCTGGCGAGGGAGTTTTATGCCAGGTGTGGGAGAGTTGAATCAGGAGCTAGAGAGCGGCAAGTCAAGGCTAAGCCTGGAAAGGTTTGCTTCGAAGGGCGACGCGACTGCTGCTGCCGTCGTCCTCATGAGGAGCTCCGATACGCTTCCGGGTGCAGCAGGCAGGGGTTTGCGATGGCATCCAGACTAGGCGATCACTGCGCACATGCAGAAACAGAGGATGAACTTGTTTTTAGATTGGCCGCAGGCACGCTGGGCAGAGTATCTGTGTTGAGCTCCAAGCCTGAGCTGAGCGCCCACGTGTTGCCGCAGGACACGGGTACTGGTATGATTCGGGCATGGATCTGGGTAGGGCATGAGTCATGTTCGATCTTTCCAGAAATTGCTTTTGGGACGTGAGGAGATGTCGCAGCCGGAGCAGATTCTGAAGGATTTGGCCCTGTCCGAGGACGCAGCCAGTAGCCGAAGGGTCCATTTCGGAGAAGAAGTCTTCTTGCTTTGCAGGATGTGATCCGGCGCTTGGATGGCCTCCTCGGTGTGTCTGAAGATGTCACCAAGCTCTTGCTGAACGTTGAAGGCAGCACGGAATTCAAGCTAGATCTGCGGGTTCTCTACCTGCGCCGGGTCCATCACTTCTGCTTCTATGCGGCTCGATGGTGCGATGACGAGTGGTCCCTGCGCAACGCCTGCGGTGTCGCCACCGTCCGCGAACGACCTTCAGCCCCCTGCAAGTCGGGGACGTGGTCTGCTGCTCATGAGGAGCGCCTGAGGAGTTTCTTGGGCAACGTGCACCTCAGCTCAACGATTTGATTAACCTTTTGACAACAAGACCGTCCTGTAAGCCCAGGTCCTTCGATGCCCCTGCTGATCCCCATTCTTACAGCGACCCGCGCATTGTTCAGCGAACTAGCGAGGCCCAGCGCATTCTGTCTTATTTCCCGGAGCCGTGCAGCACTCTTGACAGGCGATCGAAGGCGCAATCCTGAAGGTTACGGATGAGAAGTTCAAATGCAGACTTTGTGGAAAGCTCCTCGCAGAAGTCATGGCATGGGTGCCTCCTCTGTTGCTCCGAGACGCAGGGAGAGTTGACCAAGGCACTTCCGTGGATCGGACTTTGTGCGGAAACACCTCAGCCGCATGCACCTTTCCTTGCCGGAGGCTGGTCAACATTGCCCCAAACAAAGCCTGCAGAGTCCCTCAAAGACAAAGCTCAGGCAGCCCGCGAAGAACTCCTTGTCGAAAGAGCGGCTCAGTCTTGGGAGGTGCAGTTCACGGAGCTTTCTCCAAGTTTGGGCTCTGACATTGAAATTGAGAGTCTCGGCCTCGCCGCAGGCTGATGCCGC